GGCAACATGGCCAGATGCCATCTCTACAAAAAATGAAAAAAATTAGCCAGGTGTGGTGGTGCATGTGTGTAGTTCCAGCTACTTGGGAGGCTGAGACAGGAGGATCACTTGGGCCCAGCAGTTCAAAGCTGCAGTGAGCTATGATCACATCACTGCACACTGCCTGGACAACAGAGTGAGACACTGTCCGTATGAAAAAAAAAAGAGAGAGACAGACAGACAGCGAGAAAGAAGGAGGAAAAGACAGAAAACATACACATTTCTGACCAAGTCCTGTCTCCAGGCTCTCCACCTGCCCAGCTTATTCCAAATGTCTCTCCACCCATGAGCTCTTTAGGCTGTTGTGGTTTTTGTTTTTTTTTGTTTTTTTTTTTGAGACAGAGTCTTACTCTGTTGCCTGGGCTAGAGTGCCATGGTATCAGCCTAGCTCACAGCAACCTGAAACTCCTAGGCTCAGGCGATCCTCCTGCCTCAGCCTCCCAAGTAGCTGGGACTACAGGCATGCGCCACCATGCCCGGCTAATTTTTTCTATATATTTTTAGTTGTCTGGCTAATTTCTTTCTATTTTTCAGTAGAGACGGGGTCTCACTCTTGCTCAGGCTGGTCTTGAATTCCTGAGCTCAAACGATCCGCCTGCCTCGGCCTCCCAGAGTGCTAGGTTTACAGGCATGAGACACCACGCCTGGCCAGGCTGTTGTGTTTTGACTTCTCATCTAAAACGTGAACTCAGCAAGGACAGACACGAGGTGCTGTGTTAGACACAGGGACTCTGAAAGCCTCCTCTGATGCAGGCTTAACTAGTTTGGGGCAAATGGAACTGAAAACTGTAAGACTCTCACATTTAAAATAATTATGTCAAAAGGTTGAGCAGGATTTCATAAAGACGGAAGCAGCAGTGTAGTTTTTGAACCCCCCCTAAATCTTCTCATGGAAATAGATCAAATAAAACCAATAACTCATGAGTAGCATTTTCCATAAAACCAGAAGAAAAAACTTTCCTTATGAATCTTAGAACAAGAGAGTGGGGCAAACCATCACCCACGGGCACCTGCCTGGTATTAGCATCTGCACAGGAGGGAGTAGCAGGCAGGAGGCCTTCAAAATGCCAGTGGTTGTTTACTGAAAAGCACTGTGGGCTAGTTTGAAAGGAGCAGCTGAAACTGAGAGGCTTTGCCCAATCCTGAATTGAGTAAGTTCACCCGGCCTGTGATAGAATCTGAAGGCTGAAGTAGTCTAGCCCCTCTAGACTCTAGACTGAGCAGCCAGAGCTCCTTTCCAGGAAGTGGCCACACACAGAAGAGAAATTACTGGGAGGAACAATAATAGTCAGGTGGGGAACAGACAGGGAATCTCACACAGCAGGACACCATATTTTTTAACTCTACATTAAAAGAAAACACAAACAGTAGAGGTGTTTTATGAACTTAGAAAAGTTATCCTCAAATGTACCTCCTTTTTGAAGTGCAGAAAAACTAATTTTACCTAAATAAAACAGAAAATGATTGAGATCAAATCCCATGCAAAGATATTACAGGAAAAAAGAGAATGAGGTGCAGAATAGCATCCTCTCAGACCACAGGAGCAAGTAATAAAGGCCCACCAAACAGATCAAAACAGTAACCTGTTATTTCAAAACTAGCTAAGAGACATTAGGAAAAACAAGGAAACAGATGAAAGAACATGGAGGAGGGATGGGGGGTTATTATTCCATGAGTATTGTACAGAGTTTCTGTTAGGGATGATGAGAAAGTTCTGGAAATGGAGAGCAGTAACAGTTGAACAACATGGTGAGTCTACTTAATGCCACTGAATTGTACACTTAGAAATGGTTACAATGGTGAATTTTATAGTATGCATATTTTACCACAATAAAAGAAGATGAAAAAGCAATATAAATCAGAATTAGGTTAGATGATAGAACTCAGAAGAGAATTAACAGTAAAAAATTTCAGAAATGAAGACTAGGGCTTCAAGGTGGCTGACTAGAAGCATTTCATGCCCACCTCCTCCACTTAGAAGAACTGAAATCATCTATAGACAGTTGCACTTCAAATACATTATCCAAGAGAGAACACTGGAATCCAACAGAGAAGGGACAAGAAACACTAACATCAGGGAAGGAGAAGGAAGAGAGGAAGCTGGTTGGCCTGGACCAGCTGGGAGCTGGGAGTGACTCTCCAGTGCAGGGAAAGTGTGAATGGGAGACTTTCAGTGGCCCATATCCCCACTGTAGAATCATGCAATCCTGGCTAGGGACAACCCCTTGACCTCCCCTCCCCCAAGCTCTGAAACTAACATAAGAAGCAGCCAAGAGACTGTAGGGTGGAATTGCTCTGGAGAGGGAGCTCACATTGGGTCCCACACCCTTTCTGAGATCCAAACAGCTATAGCAAGGTGCCATTTTGAAACCTAGCCTTTGGCCAAGTGAACACTCACTTGGAGCCCAGTGGGACCGGGACTGAGGTTTATGGAAGCTAAGGCAGTTTCTGCTGGGATTGGGGCACAGGCTGGGAGTGCTCTCACAGGTAGGGATAAGAAGTGAGTGAGGTGTGGGTTGCAGCTTCCCGGGCCAAGAAGTTAGTGCAAGCAGGGTGCAAGGTGCCATTGGGATTTGGTCATGAGCTGGGCAGAGGCTGCTGCACCTGGGGCTGGCTGAGGGGTGAGTCCCACCAGGACTGAGGTATGACAGGGACACATGTTCCCCACCCACCAACCCAGGCTTGGGCCACTAAGCCCGGCCCCACCCTCTCCACTGCCAAAGCCTGAGTGTAGCTGCTACTGCCCCTCACCCGAGCACTCCTCCAGGGGCCTGGGGATTGCCCCTCCTCTGTCTACCACATGAAGGGAAGTGGGTTACAGGGTACAAACATACAATAAGATAGAAGGAATAAATTCAATGTGTGCTGTCAGAGTAGGGTGACTATACTTAACAAAAATGCAGTGTACTTGTGTGATGGACACTCTAAATATCCTGACTCAATCACTATAATTATACATTAATGTGTTACTAGTGGAAACACCCCAAATGTGAAGCAACTGATGAATGGATAAACAAATGTGGTATATTCATACAACACAATGCTATGCAGTAATGAAAAGAAGTGAAGCACTGACACACACTACAACATGGGTGAACCTGGAAAACATCATGCTAAGTGAAAGAAGCCTGATATCAAAGGTCGCATATTGTATGATTTCCTTTATGTGAAATGTCCAGAAAGGGTAAATCTGTAGATATTGGTGGTTGCCTGGGGCCAGAGGGAGGAGTGAGTGGGGAGTGACTACAAATGGATAGAGGGGTCTCTCTTGATGATCATGGAAATGTTATGGATCACATAGTTGTGATGGTTGCACAACACCGTGAATGTACTAAATGCCACTGAATTGTATATTTTTACTTTTATTTCATTATTATTTTTTAAAGGAAGAGACAGAGTCTTGCTACATTGCCCAGGCTGGAGTGCAGTGGCTATAAACAGGCGCCATCCCACTACTGAATTGTATCTTTTCAAACCGTGAATTTTGTTATGTGAATGCTATCTCAAAAAAGAAATTTTATCTCCACAAATATCTTAAAAATGTAAATTACTGACTTTCCCATAGTCAGGATCCGCTGTCCCACCTCCCCCTTCCCTATTCCATTCCCTTTCTGCCCTCCCCTTACCTCCCATTACTGTCCCACAGCCTCCCTCCCTTCTCCCTACCTTCCTCCCTCCTCCCTACCTTCCTTCCTCCTTTCTCTCTCCGTCCCTCCCTCCCTGCCTGGTGCTGAGCCTCCAGGACCACCAGGAGCGCCTCTGGACCCTTGGGCGCCTGCGTCCTGCAGCTTTTTGAAGGTGACCCAGTGCTCATGCGCGTCAAGCGCCATCCTGGGGGAATGGAAGGAACCAGCTGGTCCTTCTCGCGCGTTTCGGTTGATGGCGGAGGTCCAAGAAGGCAGCACGCGGCGGGGTCGGTGGAGGAGGACATGGCGGGCCCCTAACTTAATATTTAGGCCCCTCCAGAAGTTTGATCTCGTGCCGATGGTGTGCTCTGGAAGCCAGATTGGCCGCCTATGGGCGCTGGTAATCACTGAGGACTTGGGAGCCCCATAGGCCTGGCATTGAGGCCTTGCTCCGCATGCACTGTGACCCGGCCCATTGCTTAACCAGCCTAGTAAAGTGGCACAGTGGTACGGGCCTTGTGTATCCTTGTGAAGGTTAATGAAAGTAGTGCGTGTGGCTGGCCCCCTGCACGGGTATTCAGTCAATAAATGGTGGTTTATATTCCAGGCCCTGTTCTGGGTGGGCCTCATGCTAATGGAATTCATTTGACTAGGGCCCTGGTTCTCAGCTGTCCCCAGGATAACTGCTTGTCACTCCCTTGGTAGAGTCCCCTGTGTTTTGTACTCACCTTTCTCAGCTGTAGATCATATACACATAAGGTAACCTAAATCTGTTGGAGATGTGTCCTGTATCTTATTTTCCAAAATACTTATCTGGTAGGTCACGAGAGATAAGGCTATACTTCATGAAAGGTTTTTTTTACATTTCTGTGGTCAACCCAGGCTCATCTTCTCCCATTGTCAACTTAATTCTAATTTTATTCTTTTAGCCCGAACCTTAGACTCTGTGTCTCACTTCTGCTATTTTCCCCATTCCTGGTACTTTCTATGAATCCATAAAATTTCTCCCCTTTTCGCCTTCCTAGTCCTGGAACAGATTCCTTCCTCTTTCCTCAATTCTTAATCCCTTTGCCCCTATTCTCCTATCCATCTTTAAGTCCCTTCTTTCCAATGCAGCCTTTGATCCCCACCTCCACCAAAGAAAAACCACACTTAACCGCACATCAAAACTCAAAAGACTTCTTTATTACTCTGCTATTAATCAATTTTATTACATTTATTCAATTTTATTAAGATTTTAAAATATATCGGAATTAATAGAGAAATTTGTATCTATCTATCTATATGTGGAAAACCAGCTAGTACTCAAAGTGGTACCAATAATCTGAGCATCTCTTATTTTACGTAGCCATAGTAGCGTGAAATTTCCATCTCTTTTTCCCTCTCAATGAAAAACTGCACTTTCCCCAGAGAGCTGTATTTGGCAGCATTCTCACGCTCTTGTTGAGCCTTCCTTTTCATGGCTTCACGCTCTGGCCTCTGCTCTTTTGTGATAGGCTTTGATAGTACTGGCCCAGAAATATTGGGTTTCCTCCATGGAATTGGTTGGCAGCTGAAGTCTTGGAGTGGAAATTGGTTTTGAGGCTTGGGCGGTGACTTGGCCTTGGTCACAGCAGTGAAAACAGGCTCTTGCTGGACGGAAGTACAAGATGATGTTTTGCAAGGTGCAGGCTTAGAAGGAGCAGACTGAGGTTCACTAGGCTGGGTAGGGTTGGTGAAACTGGGTCTGGCTGCATTGGTTGAAATAGGCTGAGCTGGTCTGACAGGACCTGTCGAAAATGCATTGGCAGGAGCTGGTTGGGATGGATTGACTGCAATAGGTTGAGCTGAGTTAGTAGAACCAGGCTGGGCAGTGTTAGCTGAAGCAGGCCTACGTGAAGCCAGAGAATGTGGCCGCCGAGGAATAGGTCGAGCTGGAGGTTTGTCCAGGGTCGGAAAGGACAAAGGTATCAACTTGACCTTCCCAGGTGGTGGCAGCTCATACTGCGATGGAGATGGACACTCTTTTCCAGCACTGCCATCTGTTTTCTGGGCTTTGACTTGAGTTTTCTCAGAACCTTTACCCTCACATTGGGTATCCAGCCATGGTTTAAAAGTTTGGGATAACCGAGGGTCTTTGCTGTTGCTTGAATTTCCCAGCTTCCAGGAGGAAGAGAGTCCAGTTTTCTTATCACTCTTCTTTCCCAGTGCATGGAAAACCTGCACAGACTCCAGCATGTGCATGCCTAGGCAGCTTCGAGGCTTTTTAAAATTCTGTGGGCTAAGCTCAAGTTGATTTTTCTTCCGCTTCATCTTGGGAATTGTTGGCTTCTCTTCTGCCTCGACTTTGTTCCCTGACTGCTTACCTTCTTCAGCTTTCTTGGAATTGTTTCCTCTGGTCCTTTTGGTCTTTTCCTGCCCATGACCCTTAGTGTTGCTGCTCCTGCTGGATGCCACTTTCTGAGGTTTGCTGTTAGAATGCTTGCCTACAGCACTGAGAACAATCACTTCTTCCCCTATTAGGCACTCTTGATTCTTTGGCTGGATTTTGGCCTTGGGAGCACCACTGATAGGCTCAGAAGCTTTATGCTTGTTCTTCCTGACTTGATCAGAGGGACCCTTTATGACACTGGACTTTTCCTGTGACTGATTCACCATTTTGGCTCTCATATCTTTGGCTTTAATTGCTGTGAGATCTTTGGATTGGTCAAGATCTTTTAAGGAATTGAAGAGCTCTGGTAGGTGAATATCTTTCACCAGCGTAGAGATGTCTGAAAAACTACTGCCAGACTCAATCTCACTTTCGATTGTGCCTTGATGTTCAAGACTCAGGCTGCTGTTTCCTAGACTGACAGTTTTAGAACCAGGCTGCACCTCTTGGCCGAGAGGATCAATGGAGGCCAGAAGCTGGTGGATATCAGGGATTTCTAAAGGGAGTAGTGGAGGATCTTGGTTTTCTATTGGGATCTGGTAGGCATCCAGAGACTTTGAAAGCTTGGTTGTAGTCTCATCCAAATTCTTATTCTCTTTTTGTTCCTGGGTGGAAGCTGGAGGCAGTGCCAAGAAATCAGAAGGACTCTGGACTGAAGCTATTATTGAAATGTCCCCAAAGTCAGAAGGTGGGTTACTCTCAATTAGCTGGATATTTCTCCTTCTGCAGGACTTGGAGAATTCTGGCGTTTGTGTCAGACAAAGTGTCTGGGCTGGAGTTTGCAATCCCAGGGAAGTGTCCATCCCCAGGGAAGTTTCCATCACTACAAAGGAATGAAGGAAGCAGTCAGTCCCCGGTAAGTGAGATGCTCTCTCTACGCACCAAGACAGAATCAGGCACCTTATAACAGAGGGCAAGGCATTTCTACTAGCTCTTCTTGGCTACTATGGACAAGACTCTGTATTAGGGCACAGGCAGTGACTGTCTTACTTCTTACTGGTTATCATTTGATATCATTGTTTCTTGGTTTTCTTTATATTTCATAGAGTTGTTATAAGTCAAATAAAAAGTAGTGATTTTTAAACATATGAAATGTTTTATAAATCCCAGCATTCTTATGTAAGGTCCTTTCCATTTTTTCACTCTGCTGAGAGAGTAAACACACTTCACTCCATGGATTAGGAGAGTGAGTGGAGCTCTTCCTCATGCAATAGACAAGCAAGGACAGATTCTGAGCCTGCTTGCTTTGGACAGGATCTCTGGACACAAGGTCTTAAATCCTGGTGCAAACCAAGGAACATTAAAATGTCACTACCACGATAAGAGTTCTGAAGTGCCTTCCAAAGGGACTAAAGCAATATATCAGGGAAGGGAGTTAATTCCAGTGTGATGATGCAGGGGAACTGATTGGCACATGAGGACAGCAAAAAGTGTGGTAGCCCTCAGCATACTCCTGGGGTTCTCTTACAGGTATCCTAGATGGCCACTATAGTGTTCTACCTTCCCACCTATATTAGATGTTCTTATGTAGAGTCTGACAATGGGGAACACTAAGCAAAGGTAGTGGTTGAAGTCTCAGGACTGAAATTCTACCTATCTGTGGACTCACTTCTTAGGAGCAGATTTGATCCTCTTTAATTGCTGTCCCTTTTTGCTATTTGTACTTACCTTCAAAACTTGTTTCTGTGATAGGTTGAGCAGACACAGAGTAGTAGATCCTAGGGGTGGAGGTAACTGGTAGGACATCTGTAGGTTGAACCTCCTTTAGCACCATCACCATTTCTGGTTGAGAGGCAGAGGACATACTTCCTGTGTATGACATAGAGCCATAGGATTGCAGGCAGGGGTTAAGTTCTCCAGACAGTAGTGGTCCCAGTGTGCTTTGATTGTAGTAATAGACCTTGCTGCCCTCCTGGTAGGGAAGTGACAGGCTATGTTCTTGATTTGAAATTTGAGATGATGTTCCCTGAACAAGGCTGGCAGACAGTGATGGGTACAGAGGGACCATGGTATTGGTATCTGAAGCTTGATCATAATGGGCTGTCATAGACATGGAAGAAATAGTTCTGTCCTGGTCAATGAGAGTCACAGTGAGGTCCCCTTGTGAGGATGATTTTTCAGTGCTTCCTGTCATATCCCAATCAAAAACACTTGGATAGGAGGCAGTTGAAATGGACACCGGGCTCTGGCCAGTAACCCCAGACAACATAGTTGTGCTAGAATGTTGGTAAAGGTAGGCACTACCCATGAGTGACTGGAATGAGCTGCTAGTGGGTGATGGCAGTATCCATGACGAGCTAACAGCTGGAGTAGAGACTCTGGAGAAGTTGCGGACACTTCCTGTTAGGGAAGCCTCATTGCTTACCACAGGAAGAGAGAGCTGCAGAGAATTTGCAGTTCCAAGTAAAGATGAATTTTGGAAATTTTCTGTAGGAAACAAGAGGGTGATGAAAAAACTGATGAGATGGCCAGATTCTCACTGTATGTGAGGAATAACATCATCTTAAGGTTGCTGCAATCAGGCAGCCTCTAATACCAATACTCACTGAGATACCAAAAGCCAAACAGTTAATGGTGGCTGTGAAGTGCTGGAGCAGCTGGGTGTTCTTCTGATGAACTGTCTTTGTGTCCAACTTGGGTAGAGATGTGCAGAAGACCCAAGTGGTCTGGTTCACACATTGTTGCCTAGGCTAGGAGCAACCTTCTCCCTGTCCCATCTTTGCCCTGAGCCAGCATTAGCATTGACTTGTAACTACTACCTAGAATTAGAGCAGTTTAGAACTAGGAGTTCCTTAGAGAACTTCTGTTCTCACATTTTCATTGTAAAAATGAGGAAATTGAGGCTCTGAGAGGTCAGATTAATTTGTTCAAGTTCTCCCATCATGTTAGTATCATTACCGGGTCACAGAACCTGACTCCTTTGCCAGGACTTTTTGCTCTGAGCAAAGAGCAGAAATCAGGAGAAGTAGAACTTTTAATGTAGGCAATTTTGTGTTTATTAGATGACAGTACAGCTATTACCACTGTAATCTTTAGTGTCCCAATTTGTTTGTGCAGATCACATGCCATTTCCTAGAGTTCAAATATAGCCCTGACCAGTTGGTCAATGTAAAGGGTCATTCTTTACCCTTTTCAAGACTGGCTTCTGATCCTCAGTCAAAAGCACTATCTGAGAGTTAGTCTTTCAAGACATGCTTTTGGAAAGAAAAATGTTACTT